ACACACAATTGGAAATAGTTTTAAGACAAATCTGTGTGCATGTATGTACACACACCTGTACCTGGACATAGAACACACACACACACACATACACACACACACACACACACACACACAATTGGCAATAGTTTTAAGACAAATCAACTCATTGTGAAGACACTGGTTGACTTTGAACTCAGGACCTGATTCTTTTTTTTAATTGTCTTTTCACTTGAATATACAAACCCATTCCCATGCGGGGTGGGGTAATGTTGCCACAGGGAAAGATCTATAAATGTCAGATATGGTAAAACATAACTGCAGTCCGTGTTGTATGTCTGCTGGGGCTCAGTTCCACTGTTACATTGCACAGTATTTGTGTATAGCTCATACACACCCCCTTCTGTATACATTCCATCACTTCTAGACTTCACGTGGCACCTAAATCAACATCAGGGTTATGTATATAGCTGTTAAGCTGTATTGTTTAGTGAATAATAGAACTAGAAGTCGGTGCATACTCACCACAGATGTGATCATTGTAGGCTTTCAAGGTATTTGCCATCCGTGGTTGGTTGAATCCACCATACAGGAACTATGGACTCAGAAAGCCAATTATACTTGGTCAATTTTCTTACCATTGACCCTGGGTGGGTAGCGGGCAACGGCCAATATCTCAGATTCAGGAGAAGTTCAAACACATTTTTCAATATGATCAAATGGGAGGTTTCTCCAGGTCACACACATGACTTTAAACAAAACCCTCTCTGCTTTTCTAACTTTAATTAAAATAGACTAAATCAGAGAGAGGGCTCTCATAAAACAATCACAAAGCAAATATCACAAGAAAAGGTGCTGTGTTTGAAATGCTTTTTTATTTGTTCAAAGAAGAATTACATTTTATAGTGTCTATCTACTTGAACTTCCACAGACTCAAGAGTTTTAGTGTGCTTGAATCAAATGAGTCTTTGTCTTTTTGAGACCAGATCTTTTTAAATAAATAAGTAATAAACAAATAAATAACTTTTATGCACCTGGGTGTTTTGCCTGCATGTATGTCTGTGCACCAAGTGTGTGCCTGGTGCTCATGGAGGCCAGAAGAGGGAGTCAGATCCTCCGAAACTGGAGTTACAGATGACTGAACTGCCATGTGGGTGCTGGGAATTGAACCTGGGTCTTCTGGAAGAGCATCTGGTATTCCTAACTACTGAGTCATCTCTCTAGATCTTGGTGTGTGGCCCTGGCTGGCCTTGAACTCATGACCTCTCTGTTTCTGAGTGTTGAGATTGCAGATGTATTTTGCCATACCAGGCTGTGACGTGAAAGAATTCTTTTTTTTTTTTTTTCTTTTTTGACCGGGTTTCTCTGTGCTGCCCTGGCTGTTCTGGAACTCATTCTGTAGATAGACGAGGCTGGCCTCGAACTCACAGAGATCCGCCTGCTTCTGCCTGATGACTGCCGGGATTAAAGGCGTGCATCACCACCGCCCGGCTATGGAAGAATTCTTCTTTAAATTTTTTTTTTTTTTTTGGGAAAGAATTCTTAATGTTGTGATGAGGTTTTGATTTTTTGTGTTTTTAATAAATAAACAGATCGTAATTTTAATGGAAGACTCTTTCAGTTTCCACATAGATTGTGACAGCTAGTTTTAGGCTAACGTAACACAAGCTAGAGTCATCTTAGAAGAGGGGAATCTCTGGGCTGGACAGATGGCTCAACAGTTAAGGGAATTGCCTGCTCTTCCAAAGGTCCTGAGTTCAATTCCCGGCAACCACATGGTGGCTCACAGCCATCTGTAATGAGGTCTGGTGCCCTCTTCTGGCCTGCAGGCCCACATGCAGACAGAAAACTGTATACATAATGAATAAAAAATAGATAAAAAAGAAGAGGGCATCTCAACTGAGAAAATGCCTTCATAAAATTGGGATGTAGGCAGGCCTATAAGACATTTTCTTTTTTAAAAATATTAATTAATTGATTAACTATTTTTTTAAAGATTTATTTATTGGTTATATACAACTTGTTTTCCTGCACACCAGAAGAGGGCATCAGATCTCATTACAGATGGTTGTGAGCCACCATGTGGTTGCCAGAAATTGAACTCAGGACCTCTGGAAAAGCAGTCAGTGCTCTTAACCTCTGAGCCATCTCTCCAGCCCCCCTGATTAACTATTTTTTTTAAAAACATTCTTTTCTCATTTTACATACTAATCCCAGTTCCCACTTCCTTCCCTCCTCCGGCTCGTTCTACCTCCCCCACATCCACTCCTCAGAGAGGGTAAGTAAGGTTTCCCATGGGAAGTCACTATTTTCTTAATTAGTGATGGATGGGGGGGGCAGCTCTGGCCTGGTTATCTTGAGTTCTATAAGAAGACAGGCCATGGGGAGTAAACCAGTAAGCAGCGCTTGCCCCTGGCCTCTGCATCAGCTCCTGCCTCCAGATTGCTGCCCAGTTTGAGTTCCTGCCTTGGCAGAAGTTCTGCTTAGTTTTCTCAGTGGACTGTGACTTGGGATATGCACGCCGAATAAATCCTTTCCTTCACAAGTTGCTGTGGCTTGTGGTGTTTATTCACAGCAAAGGTAACCCTAACTGAGACAGAGATGAAGCAAAATGCGTTCATATTGAAGAGTTTGGAACTAACTAAAGTAATTTTAGAGCTTTCTAACTATGTGCAAAACTAGGTTGATATTGCATTAGCCAAGTACCTTGCAGCGGATGCCCAGATACCTGATTTTCAACTGAAGAGCACTACATTCTAGATAAGGCAGCCAACTGTATAAACACATTGTTTCTGTATGTTTCCCATCGCCTTGTTATTTTGGTACCCGCTGTTCAGAAAAAAAGATGAGGAAGGCTGAAGGAAGTAAAAATCAGTACAACACTGGGCTGCGTCTGAAGTGGGGGACTGTTAGGAGGCACAAAAAGGGGGTCCCCAAAGGGTATGCAAGGTGAGTTAATTGTTTCCTAAGTTCAGAAGGAAGTTTATTTAAATAGGATAGCATTTCGTTTAACTGAGATGAGATGAATAAGGTAAAGTAATGTCTGAGAGAAAAAGAAGGTTGTGGCTGAGTTTAGCCTAGTGAGTGGGAAGGGGCAGTTTAGAAGCCCTGTCCAATCACAGCCTGACCCAGCAAAGCAAAGCTTGGAGGGGAAGTATTTCGTGGTGGGTGCATGCCGCTGGAACAATTCTGGACAGGGTTCTCTCCGGACATCACTTCTTGTCTCAATGAAATGTCTACTTTAGGAGTGACATGCCCATTTCCCTGGTTTGTCTTTAAGACTTTCACCACAGAGAGAACTAACGAACTGCATTCATATGATTGCAGAAGAGCAGAAGGCCGGAGGTCCTGGTGCTTCCCTGAACATCAGTGGCTCTCCAGTCAACACTGAGCCTCCAAGTCTTACTCACAGAGGAAGCAAGCGTCTGTGCGGGTTGTTCTTAGGTTGACACCTAAGAAGTGGAACTGCTTCTTGCCCAGAGAGTGCAGCATCTCACTCATGGCAGAGCCCAGAGATAGTCTGAGAATATCATTGGGTGCTGGCCATTCTTCCAGTGTGGACCAATAGCAGAACCCTTGACAAAGCGTTCCTGACAACCAGTGATTGCGAATTGTATGGCACACATGTCCAGAATCCAACAGTAGAACTATGGTGAATTCCTGGTGTCTTGGGGAGATGCTACCCAAGTGAGGCCAGGACACATGAACAATGGGTTTGGGGCCAGTTGATCCTGGGTTGGATTTTTATTCTGCAAAGGGCTAGTATAACCATCAGTAGATACGAGATTTCAGAAACTCTTTTCTGTAAGAAAAAAAAAGACATATGTTATATAAAATTACCACCAATTGTTCTCCCAGGCAAACACAGAAGCGTCAACTATACATCTATAAACCTGCATTAGTTTTCCTTGAACTCATTGAGATGTTTCTTTGACTCAGGGCAGAATCTGACAGTATTAATTCTTTTTCTTGATTACCTAATTTGAAAACTGGGTCTGAAGAATATTCAAGATTCTTCTAGATCACTCTTATAAAATGAATGATTAACAGACAGGAGGACCAATGGAACCGAATGAAAGACCCGGATATTAATCCACACGCCTTCGAACACTTGATTTTTGACAAAGAAGCAAAAAATATCAAATGGAAGAAAGAAAGCATATTTAACAAATGGTGCTGGCATAATTGGATATCAACATGTAGAAGAATGAAAATAGATCCATATCTATCGCCATGCACAAAACTCAAGACCAAATGGATCAAAGACCTTAACATAAAGCCAGCCACATGGAACCTTATGAGGAGAAAGTGGGAGGTACACTTGAACGCATTGGCACAGGGAACCACTTCCTAAATATAACCCCAGCAGCACAGACACTGAGAGAAACAATTAATAAATGGTACCTCCTGAAACTGAAAAGCCTCTGTAAAGCAAAGGACATAATCAACAAGACAAAACGACAGCCTACAGAATGGGAAAAGACCTTCACTAACCCCACATCAGACAGAGGTCTAATCTCCAAAATATACAAAGAACTCAAGAAATTGGTCATCAAAAGAACACATAATCTAATAAAAAAAATGGAGTATATACCTAAACAGAGAATTCTCAACAGAGGAATATAAAATGGCTGAAAACATCCTTAGTCATCAGAGAAATGCAAATCAAAGCAACT